AATCATTAGTATTACCATCTTTTTTTGTTTATTTGGTTCTGGGTTTATAAATTTAATGTAATTCAGCAATTATAAGTTGTTTATTGCTTCTGGGTTTATAAATAGCAATAGCAGACCAGGATGTAGAAAGACTACTGCCTTTCTTTTAGCTACTTTCATATTTATTTTAGTGAATAAGGAGTGCACAGCTCAGCATATTTTATTTTAAATAATTCTTTAATTTATATGTATGTGTGTATGTGGAGGAAGAGGAAAGAAAAGATTCCTTTTGCCTTACAGTAGTGTCTAGGGACATGTTTAATAATATCCTCTGAAACAAAATTCAAAATATGATTAGTCTGTATCAGGATAGTTATAGTAGTCTGCTACCTGCTGGACACATCACAAAAGCTATTATAAAGGTACAAAATTTCAGGGACTACTGAATAGCTGTTTCTGAAAAAGAAGAGAATAGAAATTATTATATGGCTTAATTTTAAGTAAAAATATTCTTCTCAGTTCTGAAGCCATACAGATACGTATCATTAGTTGACTTACAATGTGTGAAATGATAGATCATGACTATGGTGGTAAACTGTGCCAGGTGGTATTCTGCATCTTTGAAATGTCACTCTTGTGCCTGCCTTCCAGAACCCACTTTTGATAGTATCATCCTCCTATCCAGAATCTTGTAGTTCAGGCAAATCATTGGTGAAATATTTTTGTTCATAGTATTGTTCCCTGAAAATATACCTGACTGTTTGAAAATATTTTGTGGTCCCTCCGCACATTTTTTTTCCAGTTTCCAATGAGATTGTGGGGTGGAGCATAAATACAATAAATACATAAATACATCTTAAACATGATCATTGTTTATATGGATCAATAAAAACAATGGATCATATCTCATTTATATTAATGATGCTTATATCTTGCTCTGGGAAACTGGAAAAAAAGACTTTACTTGACTTTACAGATCAAGAATACCTGTCCCTGTGCTTCTGATTACTGTGCATCTACTAACCAGATAATAGCACAATTTAGTAATGCTAATCTGGTTTAAAAATATGTAGAATATAGTAATAAATCAGCACAGTTTTCCCTGAAGTGTTTATTCTTACAAACAATAGCAGACTAAAATGTAAAATTACCTTGAGGTTTTACTCTAATGTTGAACTGATTCAAGGATGCCACCTATCTTTGGTCTACCATTTACAGCTTTTAAGAAAAACAAAAAAAGATAAAATATTAGGTGACTGGTAAAAGCAGAATTTTTGGGAAGTTTATTACAAATTTTTAAGTTATTTACTCATCTTACCTAAATCTCAGTTTTTATTTTTAAAGGTTCCAGCATGCTCAACTTTAAATGCTGATATCATCAAAACACCTTTTCAGTATTCTAAAGGGAATAATCAATATAATGAGCACTGCCAAATCCAGCTGTCTTTGGGTCTGATCAAACAAAACCTCACATTGTAAAACAAGGACTCTGAAAATATATCTTATCACTAAGAGTACTTATTTTCTTGCCATTCAGGCATATTTGCAAAGATTTCAAGTACATTTTGTATTGTACATTGTGTACTTTGCTTGTCAAAGATAAACAGCAGAAGATGAATTTCCAAAAAATCACAGTTGTTTTTCACAGTTACAACACATAAATGCTTATGCATTACATATGTAGTAAATGAGTTTACTGCCTCTTGCATGTTGGATATTGACATCTCTGCTGTTGCTATATGTTACTCTTGCTCCATTTATGCAAATTCCCTTAAAATTAAATGTCTTCAAGTTTCAGTCGACAAGCATATTTGCCAAATAAATAGCAAGTTTACTTTGCCAAATCCAAAGTTTGTACTGTGAATCAGCTCAAGTATGGTATGTTAAGCCTAAGTTGAAATGGGTTGTTTATTAGTAGGTTACATACAGTTGCTCGCTTACCCTTTAATGATCTGAAGTTATGAAATATTTCATTTGTACTGTAACATGTCTGGAGTAGTTATTGCTAGCTGTTTCTAACCCTCTTCTAGCAGAGGTATGCATGGTACACAAAATGATTTACTGGGTCAAGCAATAATATTTTACTTTTTCCTATACATGAAATATGATCCTGTTTGGTGGTTACTGTTTCTGGATTGTTTTACTACTGGTAGTTTTGTACAAAGTTGCAGCATTTTCTAATTTTCAGTTGATCCAGAAACTTTTAAGAAGAAATCACAGTAATAACAACTGCAAGAATAAGATTATCACATTAGCATTCCAAATTTAGCCAGTTACTAAAATATAATATTTTATTTTTTAATATATTCTTAAATTGTAAAAGTTATTAATGACTTCATTGCTGCTTCTTGTCTTAAAAATGTGACTGTTTCACAGAATATGACACAAGACAGATGTAGACTAATCTATGCATCTGTGACTTTATACAAGTACACTTTTCAAAGTCATACTTTTCCCATTCTTGCAGTTTTAGGTGAGTTACAAAGAGAATGGGACAGAAATCTTTTAATAAAACATGCTTCTCTGAAAAATGTTAATGCAGAAAAAACAAATAATAAACTTTTTTTGAATGTACATCTATTTTGATTTAAAAAAAAAAGCTTGCTTTATCTCAGAAAAGAATTTCAGATTGCAGAAGAATGAGAGATTACATCAGAGCAGCCAATAACCTGATAGATCACAACAGAATCATCAATAATTTTGGGATTCACCAGAGACTGGTGGAAAGATTCAAGCCGAAGCTTATGATTTGAACAAAAATATCAAATGTAGTTATTTTTTCTTGTTCCATGGTATTCCCTAATAAGTCAGATCTTTTTCATAGAGTTCTCTTACTTTTTTTTATTTGTGAGCATTGTCAAAAAATAGTGAAAAAGATCTTATGTATCTCCAGTGAAATTAAGAAAAAATTTTGAACCTTAATCATATAGGTAAAGATATGTATTTTCTTTCGGGTCAGGCCTAATTAAAAAAAATATATCTTGAAACACTTGTAAAGGAACTTATATTTTCCTTAACCTCTATCCTTTCCTCTGCAATGAAATACACATAGCATGGGATATTGTTGATTGTGCTAAAGAAAAGCTGGTTTAGCTTTCTGACACTGCTTATAAAGACAAGTACAAAAAGACAGATGTTTTGTATCAATTTGGTGGTACTCGATTAATATAAAATATCTGGAAGAATACTAATTTAAAAAAAATTACTGTTGCACTTACTAAGAAATATATGATAATAAGATTACATTTCTTCTTGTGTTTAATGGAAAACAAGATTAGGATTTAGGTGGATGAACTAATTATGCAATTTTTCTTAACATCTTGGATTTCTTGTTATTATGAATATAAATTTTAGTTTTCTATGCTGTAGCACTTAAGTATTGATATTGTTGCAAAATGTATGTTGCTGTTAATAAGTGAAATATACTTTCAACTTAAATTCAATACTAATATTATTTGCCCAGAAACTCCCATGTTTTCCTGTGGAGCCTTTGCCCTGCACTGATGTAACTGCACATCTAATTGCACATAATTTAAATGTGTACCAAAAATGAAAACGTTTTTCTTTTTTCTTTTTTTTTTTTTTTTAATAGTGAATGAAATATATGTCAGCTTTAAATCTAGTTACGGATTTCAGTTTAAATTCTTATGTCTAGGTTTACAAATTTTGTGGATAGGACAACACAAACCATCCAGAATATTTTTTTACACTAAGAAGATTAAGATTTATGTGTGGGTTTGTCTGCTTTACTCAGACAATTAGAACAAATCAGCTACTTGCCTACACAATTTTCTATGTCCTCTCTATCTGGGCCCTCTTAACTCTCTCTACTTGACTGTGTTCCCTGGCGTATAATGCACACATACATGTATCTGCATGCACGCACATGCACACACACACACACACTTTTGTATATGTGAATATGCCAAACTAGCTGTTCCTCAGTGTACTTATGTTCCCATTTACACATGTAAAGAAAAGTATTTCTCCTCCCTTCGGAACAATTTACAATCCTTGGAACATACATAAGTTTCTCCAACTTGCCTGTGTTGGCTCTTGTTCATAGAAACATGTTCTTCTTCAAACAATTGCTAGAACCCAGTGTAACAAAGTAATATGAGCTTTCAAGGACTTGATATTAATCCATCAGAATGGCATCCACAGCTTTAAACACAAACACTTTCAGTTCTCAATTGTAACAATAATTAAAGACCATTTATTACAGACATAAGTATTAAAAATTCATATGCATAAGTATTCTGTCATTTTTATCTTAGGATATACCCATGCTTCCGATAGCTGCATTTTACTCAGTTTCATGAAATAAGAAAATGACTTTTACCTTTGATCCAGCTTTATCCTACTTGAGCCAGATTATAGATGTCAGGAGTAAATTATGTTCTTCACTTTCACTGCATTTACTCAGTGAAGAGTTGAAGAACAATTATTCAGTTGTTATTTGAAGACAATTGTATTGCACAAAGCCATGCTTCCGATAGCTGCATTTTACTCAGTTTCATGAAATAAGAAAATGACTTTTACCTTTGATCCAGCTTTATCCTACTTGAGCCAGATTATAGATGTCAGGAGTAAATTATGTTCTTCACTTTCACTGCATTTACTCAGTGAAGAGTTGAAGAACAATTATTCAGTTGTTATTTGAAGACAATTGTATTGCACAAAGTGCAATTAGTTATGTTGTCCTTTGAGTATATCTTAATCAAAATGTAATGCAATTATTCAGAATTGTATTAAACATGTAAAAACGACATAAATAAGTGAAATGACGGTGCTTTCAGGAGGTCAGCAGAGTGATGATACCTTAAAGTTATTATAATTTATATTTCATGAAATAAACCTGCTGGGTTAATTACAATAATTTATTGTAAAATATGCTAAAGTTACATGTAATTATTAATTGGAAAATCTCTTATTTACACTGCTGCAAAGTTTATTTACAGACTCATTTCTCACGTACATTTCTTTATTTCTAAAATATATTTGCTTATTTTATTTCCTAGGTTATTCAGATAAATTTTGAAGAATTTGATCTGGAGATTGGCTATGACACACTGACAATTGGTGATGGAGGAGAAGTGGGTGATCCTAAAACTGTACTTCAAGTGTAAGTCTTTTGCATTTACAATTTGTATGCATTACAGAATATGTGTTTTTTGATGAAAGTAAATAGTGATTAGAATCAGGTAAATCTCAATAAAAACTAATCTTACTGAACTTCTAAAATTACTGAAGGTGACAGTTTGAATACATCATTATACATTTACTGTTCTGAAGTCAGAAAGAGATGAGCTAGACAGCAGAAAAGAAAAAGATAAAATCAGAAATTTTAAAAGACATAGTCTGTACATTCACGTGTAGACATGTAAATTTTTAGGGGCTACTGTGCTCCCTTTATAAGTGAGTCCTCAAATTAAAAGTGTGTAAGAACTTAATTAAAAATAGACAAATGGACAGCTTATACATAAACTTTTACAATCTCCTAGCAAGCTTAGGATAACAAAAGATGTACTATAGGATCTTTACCTTTAAGTGCTTATTGACTATTGTGGATAACTCAAAAAATGAGTTAGTGTAGTGAAGAAAATTACTACAAAGAAAATCTGAGTAGGATATTACCTAAACCACATATGATTACAAATCAGACAGCACTGAGTATTAAATAAGATTTTTATGATCCATTAGCATTCTTCTGGAGTGTGTGAACCCGGATATATAGAGACAGATATAAATACTTAACAACCATTGATTAACATCAGAATCCATATTTCTTAGATATTCAACTTGTGATGATAACTGGTCTTACAATAATAACAACAGTCTCAAGAAGACAAATTCAGAATCTCATTCCTTAATTTGTGAAATTTTGAAGACAGCAGTATAATCCAATGATTCTGTTATTTCTGTTTATTCCCCAGTCATTTGAAAATATGCAGAACACTCTTATTAGGTATTACTTGTAGTCTATCATTTTATGCAGCTCCAATTCCATTCTCAGTAAATAATTAAATGTTTTGTAAGAGAAGGCCCCTTAAAATACATTGTATTTATTTTTTTCAAATCTGTCTCAATGTTATGAAAAAAATAACAAAAATGTTGTTTATTGCTTAGAAGCCATATTTTACCCATAAGGGATTGTCTGCTAGTTACAAAAGATTTTTGGAAAAGGCGAAATAATATTTAACTATTATTTTTAAATAAACTGGCCTCTCAGTAAGACCTTATCTTATCATTAGTTGAAATGAGTTACAAATTTAAAACAGATCAGAACTGAAGCAGAAGTGATAAATATTTAATACAAAATGTATTTAATCAGAACCCAAAAGAATAGCAAAATTAGGATTCCTTAAAATGATATTCCCTGCATTATATTTAATGGAAATGTTTTCATACTATTTTACATATTGTAGCTTTCCATTATTCATCATAAGAATGATATAAAGAATTTGTTTGGTTTGAATACCCTAAAACCAATGTCTACCTTTTTTTTTTTCCCTTAATTTCATCTCAATATTATTAACTGCAAAACTTTGAGCAGAAAATACAAGTTGTTTCAAGATTTTCAGATTTTTGTCATGAACTCCTCCTTAGATTTATCCTTCAGAGGATAGACTATCTGACCTTCTATTTTTAGTTGGTTTTGTAATCGTTCTATCCTTTCTTATCAATGAGGAGACCAGGATTTGGCCAGGTATTTCAGGTGCAATTACTTTAGGATAATGCAAAGTTTCTTCAGTGGATTGTAGATGTGCTAATTGCTACTAATAATAGTTTTAAGACGTGGGGAACTACTGTAATTTCTATTTTATAAACAGTAACAGTACTGAGCCTTCAAAATACATTTCTAATAATGCTGGAACTCAATTTCAGATATTCTTAGATTCCTAAACTATATTGACTACCCTCTCATGTGGAAAGAGCATTTATTAAGTACCAATTCACCAGGTCTTATTAACTTTTAATTAAAGTATTGTTTTGCATTGCTACCTGAATTACAGTAACACATTGAGGCCCATTACAACGATATTTAAAATTTTGAGTAATGTAGTAAAGCACTCTGTCCAGATTTTATTTCATTAAAGATGCTAGTATTTTATAAAGGTATGTGTGATGATGAGACCTATGTTGGGGAGAAATTAGGAAATTACAGGATTAAACTTGTCATGAATCTAAAGGAATTCCGAGTAATTTTCTTTAAAAAAAGAGTTTAATTAGAAATATCAAGTGTTAACATATGATAAGAGAATCTGTTCTGTAAATAACTAGATAAATAATTTTAAAGAATTCTTACTGTGGGGATCCTGGAAAAGCAAAAAATCCCCCAATTAATTTGTGGGGTTTTAATATTAAATAACATTGTATAATCAGCCACACATACATTATTTTTGTATACCAGTGGATGGAAGATGGAACATAATTGAGTACTGTAAAAAACTTGTAAATCTTTTCTCCTGTGAGCCATGCAGACTTTGTCCGAGATATGATGCATAGCAAATAAGTCAGCTATTGTATGATTTAATTTTGGATTTTAAATTTTAAAATAATTATCTTTCCTCCAGCAAATTGCTGAAGAACATTAGTTTGAATATGTCTGGTTTACGTGTAAATGATGTGAAAACATTTATCTTCCAAATTATCAAAGTAAATCAGGAAACCTATCCAAGTGTTTAATCCAGTAGTTTTACTGGGCACTGCTAGATAGGAAGGTTCAGAACCAAAAACTGAATTTAAGTGGCATTTAGATAGAATTATGCTTCCTAAATTGAGAATTGGAGTCCTGATAATTCCTGCTCGGCTGGTGCTAATCACAGAAGCAGCTAAACTCCAAAGCCATTTCAGTACTTGCAATTAAGTTTCCCCGGGTGCCTATAATTCTGTGCCTATATACATGCACCCAGCAACAGGACAGACTGCTCCAGGGTAGTGAGCCTAGCACATAAGTGAACTTAAATCTGAATGGAGTACATTTTTTGTGTGTTTGACAAGATGACTAATATGAAGGCATCCTTAGTGCTTTCCTGTGGTACTAAGATCTTTGCAAAATGGAGCAGTGTTAAGTTTCATTACCAAGGGATAGAGGGAAGAAGGAAAAGAAACGGTGGGTCCTCCTTCACACATCAGTCACAGCACTTTTTCAGGATGTTTGGAAGTCTGCTTTCAGCAGCTTGGTCTGACAGTTGCTGCAGGTGACTCTTAATGTTATATGCATCTGGGCACTGGTTCCTGTAATATGCATTTGGAAAATCCAGTGCACAAGGCGTGAAACTAATTCTTACTCTTTTAGTATGCTTGCTATGTTGGGTGTACATGTATCCAATCTCCCATATTACAGATCATCTTCAGGAGATGGAGAGTGTCGCAATATTCTGAATATCCTCTAACCTAGTCTTCAGTGTACTCTCTCAGGGGGAACGTATGTCACTAGTACGTAGGAGGGGTAGTTCTGCAGTCCTAGAGGAAGAGATGGAAAACACCCTGCTGAGTGTCGTAACTGTTAAGTTGTTTAATAAAAAGGGAGGCATCATAATCACATCTATCCATTTCTGCTGTTGACAGTGTTCACTGCTCAGCTTTTGAAATGGAAGGTGTAAGAACCTACTTCCAGGAGAGGAATCTAGGTAATGAATCCAGGGTAGAGGAAGTCACATAAACCCCGGGAGGAAAGGGTAATTCATAACTGCAGAATTTCATTATTATCTTAAATAACTTCCTTCACATAATGCTGTTTTTTCTGGATCTTATTGCCCTGTGGCCCCAAAGTCTTCCCAAATATTGTACAGGGATCCCTAAGCACTTAAAAAAGAGCAACAAATGATTTCTGTGTTCTGTTGATTGATTCTTATTTTCAAAAATGCATTTTCAAATGGTATTTTTCCCCATGTACTATTTAATTGAAAAATATTATTCCTGAAAACTGTATGCATTTTAAAAAAAGTATTTATAATTGACTTCAGAAAATGGAAATGATAAAAAATTTGATGGCTGGTTATTATAGGAATTATTCTCTCTGACACAACAAAAAGATTAATATTCCCAATGGCCTTAATATTCCCAAAATGTACTGTCAGTCACCAGCAACAATTACAAAACTCTGTTAGCCATTACATCAGTGTTGTTTCTGAGGAACATCCTGTTAGTCTATTAATTTGGCAAAGACTGAACTCACTGAAGATGCTTTCCTGTAGTGCGGGAATGAGCAGTTAGTACATTATTTTGGCCAGGCATTTACTTGTTCAATTCTGGCAGGAGTCTTTGTAGTAGCTCCATCTGTGAACACAGATGTGGGAAATAGACATGAATTTCTCCCACAGCAGAGTATTTCATACAGAAACAAGCTAAAAAAGACTAGAGGGGAGAACTAAAATTAACTGCAAAATACATTTAAAATAGTCCATTTGAAGTTTCAGCTAGCTTTAAAGAATGGTTAGAACTGAAAAAAACAAACTAACAGTTTTCACTCTTATACAGTCTTGTGCTTGTGATCCATTCTACAAGAATGGAAAATGTTTTGGTACTTTCCACCATTCTGTTTTAGCTGATAAACTCTTACCAAATTTGAGACAAAGTTTTTGGAAAAAAATGCAATGTAACAAAACTGCAGCTTTCACAACATTTCCTTTTTGCTATCACACTATTTCATTCAGCAAACAGAATGAACATTTAGGATTTCATTGCCTTTCAAATTTTTGCAAGCAATATGAAAAGTAGAAAAAAAAGAAAAAAGAAGTTTAGCTTAGTTCTTTCTAATTAATCAACAACCTGTAACATTAGGAGGTTTTAAAGTCCTGACATCTGGTATTTTTGTTAATGAAGGAATGAACGTCAGCTGAGTCTGTCAGGCACATTCTTCCATTGTTGTGGTAAAGGTGATGAGGGGAGGTGAGAGAGTGCAGGAATTCATGGACCTTCATAAAAGTATTGCTATTTAAGAATAACAACTTCCTCTTAAATATGCAATGCATGTATTCCAAAGTGGGTAACTGTATACCAGAGAAATTTTTTTTTTGAAGAATAAATGTAGTGTCTCATTATAGGCTTCTAGTGCTATTTGATATGCCTGCATGTATCTGAGTCATGCACACAGGACTACCAGATAAGGTTCAGGATTAGGAGAGATGCATGTCTTTCTGGATCAGCAACTGAAAGTGAGATGAAATATTTCCGTACAACACAAGCAATAGTTGCTTGTGTTTATAGACTGCTATCAAATCTGCAGTCAGATTGGAACCTTGAGATCTGCAGTTGGAACCTTGAGAGCTATATTGGCTAACCAGCCAGTTGATAACTAATTGGGTGTGAGCTGAATACAATGAATTTAAAAACAAAAAAACCCATAAAAAATACTTAATAGTTATTTAGATTCCTTACAAAAAGAAAAAAATCTAGTTACTTTACTTAATACTTAATGGCTTTACAGATTTTTTTTCTATCTATAGGTTAACTGGGAGCTTTGTACCAGACTTAATTGTGAGCATGAGCAATCAGATGTGGTTGCACCTTCAAACGGATGAAAGCGTGGGCTCAATTGGTTTCAAGGTTAACTACAAAGGTAACGATACATTATTGGAAGCGAATTTAATGGTGTACCAAAAATTAAGCCAATATTATGAAGTGTTTTTCTTTCATATTAGGGGATGCATTCTATTTCCAGTTCTGTCAGTTTTAAAAACAAGAAAATGCAAGCTGAGTTGAAAAAAATACAAAAAATAAATTTGTTCTCTTTAAAGGTCTTATGTCACGTGAAACTGCACAGTTTCTATTTGGTGTGTTCTTACAGCAGTTGATTTTTGGCATATAGTTTTACATCTATTTTCTGTTATTTCATGTTGAAAAATATTAAAATGAAATAATTCTGTGATTATTTAAAGCTAAAGGTGTAAAGGAAATGAATATTTCCTACATTCTTTTGAAAATTAATCATGCCTACCATAACAGAAAAAAACCACTGCAAGCAAAGAATTGGAATTACTTATGAGTTTTGGGCCAAGGCAAACTTACCTAATAATGTTGTTCTTTATGGTCTTAAAATGTGAGGAATCTATAACGCATAACATAAAACAGCTGGTGCTATTTCATGCTTCTGGGAGAACATACAGTTTTCATATAGCATGAACAGCAGAATCAAACAAAAACTTAATAACATATATATGCACTTCTGTATTATTACAGAATTAATTATATTTATTATTTTTATATTAGCTTTAACATAGCTGCATGTATTTCTTGCAACAAATTTTTAAATTGCATGGTTCCTGCCTACCACACAAACTAGATAATAGAAAATATGAATATTCATCAAAATTATTCATCAAAAGGGGAGAGAGGAAAGGCAAAAGTTAAACCAACAACCATGTGTATTAGAAATGGATTGGATATTGTTGAGGATGGGCAGATGGAGTGAATAAGCATATTGGGAGTAAACCTGCATGATGTGACTTGCTGGTTTTTTCTGTCCATGACTTTCCTTTGGCTGTTCATGTGTATTAAGCTCTACAGTGGTATGGCACAAGAGTGCTTGTGCACTCTTGATATTCAGATCTAGTGGACTAATATAGGAAGATCTTACTACTTCGTTGTATGGTAGTTATTAAGACCCAGGATTTCTACATTCCAGCGTTGAAAGGGGCAAGAGAAATTATTAGTATAAACAAGTTTAAGAATTTGTTAATGTAGCAAACCTTGAACCATAGCTGAGTGGAAAAGGAAGCTTTTTAGATCTGAACTTGAAATAATTTGCAGAACTCGAAATAATTTGCACAGCTCAAGTAGTTGTTTCCTTTATTCAGAGGATTCTTTTCCAGTAAAATTAATTTTACTTGCATCAATTTTAGTTTGCAGAAGGCAGAGGATTATTGTCGTGTCTTACAATGTACCATTACGTGTTGTTTTATTAATGAGTTACATTTATTCTTAGAAGCTATAGTTCTGTAAGAATAAAATAATTGAATATGAATAGGTAGAAGGGGACAGAAAGGGTGAGCATTCACAATCTCATTACCACATAATCAACTTTGTAATTGCACACCTAGATATTGAGTCTGTATTTCTCTCTTGCCCTACACTGGTACTTTACACTAGCTCACTAAATAGCATTTGAATGCATCAGGCATTCAATGGATAGGTGCTGTGTGGCAGGGGGTTGTTCTGTTTTATTTTGTTTTTTTCCCCCCAGTCTAGATTATGGGATAAATTTTTTGTATCAGTTGCCTTTGCATTGATCCCTGAGAGGATGTATTCATTAGAGATGCCAGAAACCAGGCAATGTTCCCTTAAATAAAATGGGATGGGGGGGGGCTGCTTTTTTTTTTTGTTGGTTTTTCTTTGAGTTTAAGTCACTTCTCTTAATGAAAGTAGGCTCTGAAAAGAGATGTCTAAATGGGTAGTATTTTGGATAAGTAGCTGTTTTGCAGTTAAAGTTTTGGAACTTATGAATTGGAAGTTGAGAGAAAGTCCAGTGAGGTACACTGAGCAATTGAGTTAGAACAGTGTGTTCAGGGCTATGACATATCACTGACTTCTTTACTAGAATCAAAAAATTGCAAGGACTTTTCTCTCAAAAATGTTCATAATTACTTAAGAGAATTGTGATTTCCGGGAGTCAGGGTCAGAGGACATTTTAGTTTAAGTGACTACATGAATTATTATGTAAGCCCAACTTCCTTGTATTTCTTTTTAATGGACTAGATCAAATTCTATTCCTATAACTTGTCCCATTCCACCTCACAATTTCCACTACCCACTCAGACGCCTAACTACAGCTGATACTGTATCTATTTATATGTATTATATATTTAGATCTTGTGAGTTTCTGCTTACATAAAAGGTGCAACTACATTAGCATTTTAGATTAGATCCAGCAGTGTGATTTTTGAACTGAATCTTCTGATCGTTCCCACTCCCCTTGCTTTAGTTTTCATCACAGAGCAATCTTGAAAGGCACAAATTACATTCCTTTGAGTTAATTCATAAGATGACTTGAATAGCATCGGGAATAGCATTCCTCATGTCCTCCAGGTCCTAATGGGCATTGATCAGGAGCTGATGAAGCTTGTCCAAAGTAAAACCACTAAAACACAATCAAATTCTTATAGATAGTATGGATACTGTATCTTCTATTGTTTCATTCTACAGACTTGCTTATGTCGGAGTTAATCACTTGATAATGTACTCGATAACAGTACTTGCTAATAGCTAAAATAATTTCCCACTAAAATGTTTTGATGCCTAAATATCTACTTCTGTGCATCCTGAGACTCAACTAACTACAGAGGTAGTGGAGATGTGTGTGCCTCATCCCATCAAAATTCATAAACACATTCTTCAATCTAGTTGACATTTAGGTCTGAGTCTGGCAGTCATTTTCAAGAATATAGATTACTCCAAGTCCTACATGCAATATGACGGGAGGAACAGAAGGTTGTGGGATGTCATTACCCAGTGCCCTTTACCCATTGTCCCCCAAAATGGTATACTTGCTCAAGGTGTGAGATAGAAGGTCACATCCTTTCTGACTGGAATAGAATTGAATATGCCATATCATTTGTAATGATAGAAATAGACAAATGAATTTTTAAGTACCTCTGCATTCTCTAATTTAGTAGGTTTTCAGCTGAAGAATTCTTTTAAATTTATGTTATTACAGGAACTAACAGTTTATTCTCTTTTATATATCTGCCATTTGAGATAAACTAGTAAGTCTTTGTGAAATAATAAAAATCTTTGTCTTCTAGATTAATATGTTGCATATGGAGTTATTTTATAGTTTTAATAGCTAGATCCCATTTTAATTATTTAAATATAAAATAGAGATTTATGCATTGGAGAGAGTATTTTAAAGTAAATAAGTTTGTGTTGTTTTGAAATTCCTTTTCCAGTATCGCATAACATAAAACTACTTAGGAAGGTAGAACAATAAATATCACGAATGGGCAGGACAGAAATACAAGCACTGCCTCATTAGAGATATATTTTACCTGTTAGCTCAGTGTTGTGTAAGCTGTTTTCATGCTTCAAATGTATGTGTAGATTTTTTTTTAATGTGAAAACATAGAATATTTAGCAATTTGAAATTGTAAGTGCATTATTTCCAAGTCATAATTCTGGGGATTATTTGAAAGCCATAGTCCTTCCTTTAGATATGAGATCAGACTGTGGTGCTCATATAATTACCAAACAAAACAAACAAATAATGGATTCCTTTTAGGCTTCCCAAATCAGTGCTATGAAAGGAAACTACAAGTTAATAGTTATTGCTGATGACAAGTTGCATGAACACTTTGCATCATTCAGTATTTAAGGAAATGGTGCCATATTGTCACAGTAGCACTTCTATTCCCAAAGCCATGGTGAAAAGGAAGGAAGTTTCTATCTGAACAATAGTGGAGAAACAATCTCCAACATATTTAAACACTGTAACTGAATGGTCTTCATCTATAATTGAGGAAAAAACAGCTGCACAAAATACAGGACAAACTGATAAAATTGTGGCATAACCTTCAAAGACTAGAAATCCATTGTTGTAAGATCATAAGATTTTGAAGAATTGTGACTTCATTTCACAAAAACTGATTGAGAATCTAGCAATGGAATATTATAGTTCTTGGAAAACTATATGTGAGAACTCTTAACTGCAACAGCTTTCATATGCAATAGCTTCCTTTTGTAATTTGGACATGGTGTGAAAGAATAAATTAAATAAAAAAGTATGCCTTATACACTTTTTCAAAATAAAATTGTTATTGCAGATTCCTTTTGTAATTTTGGACTTTTGTGAAAGAATAAATTAAATAAAAAAGTATGCCTTATACACTTTTTCAAAATAAAATTGTTATTGCAGAGATTAAAGAATAAAATAAATAATCATGGTGTAAATTCATAGGAAAAATTATTTTCAGGAATGAAATTAGTAATGTAAACACATAGTACAAAACGGTCATGTATTAGCGTATAATGGGCAAGCTGAACTTCTGTTTAGGTCAGATTTGGGTCCTCTGAAACAGAGGAAACTATCCTCAGGGCAGTCTAGTTCTGTCGGGTCCTGATATCACATCCTCAGTTTCTGAGCAGTGGCTGGATCTGAGGGATTATTTTTTCTTTTGGTGCGTCTTTGTTTTATTTTTCTCCAAATAACTGACTACATGCTAATAAAACCTCTTAAATCAGTAGGTTTTCCTGATAGCTCTGCCTCCTAACAGGACAAAATCTGTGTGATTTTGTTGTTAACTATAATAGTACATCAGACATACTCTAATTTTAATTGCATGAGAAAAGAAAGTTGAAGAAGGTTACTCTGACTGAAGTGTAATGATAAGTTTTGGAAAAGGCTTGTCTAAGGTGCCAAGCTAGATAGGAGTGTAGGTAAAAAGTGAATTTGAAGCAAAATAAATTTGCTTATTCAATTTTCTGCATCGATGATCTAATTTTAGAATATGGAATTTACACTCTGACACCCAGTATTTAAAAAGATTTATTTTTGCTTAAAGCGTAACTTTCATCTTGCTTCAACCAGTGTGACTTGTGTTCCTGAGTGCTTGGGGTACTATTGCAGCC